AAAAAATAACATTTGTTTAATTTTCATTACTTAAAAGATAGATTAAATGAATGTTTTATGCCTTAAAACAAAATGTAAATATACAATAACAGAATTTCTGAGCAAAAAATCATAAGGCTATTGTAAGAATAAATTAAACTTGTTTTATGCTTTCAAATAATTAGACATGCTAAAACAGAATTTGGTTACAATAAAACATAAGGTTGGAAAAATAAAACATTTCATAGGGCCCTAAACATGTAATATTTGTTAAACTTTTAATAAATTGATGTTAAATTGTTTAAGTTTCATGATTTTAATTAATTTGACATGCTTTTTGATTAATAAAATGTAATTTAACCATTAAAAAGGAGTCCAGAAAAAAAAACGGAGCCCCCCCCAAAGCCGTAAACCTAGGGGAAACACTGCACTTAAATGCAGAAAAAGTCAGATTTTCACGATATGTCCCCTTTAAGATGCATTTACTTGAGATATAAAGTCTTGTTTTCTAAGAAGCTGATCAGAAATTAAGTTAGTTAAGAACAAATATCCGCCAATGGGCTTTAGAAGAATCAACGTAATTCAAACTCATTTTGTTCAGTTTTTCCAAGACATTTAAAATTTTCAGTAAACCTATCTTGATTTAATGTTTTGACGTTCAGATATTTGCACTGGAAAACAAAAACACTGAGGAAGATATTCATGCTTTGCAGTGCATTCAACATTTAATGACTTCTGATTTAAGGCCTTGATTTGTGGAAGAGTGAATTAAGACTTTAAGACCTGCAGAGATGAACAAAGACGTAACCCAAGCTCACCGTTCTTCATCAGCGTCCTGACTTGCTCACCCAGAGGCAGCGTGCGGAGCTGGGCCATTGAGAGCACGTTACTGGGACCCATGGGCTTGATGCTAGAGGACGAGATGGCATAAAATGGGGAACATGGGGAAAATACCACCACCTGTATGTTCTTCTACTTACACTTTCTCTTCAGCCAGTGGAGGCATAAGCATGGCCAGATATTCACTGAGGAGAGAACAAACACATCAGGTGAACACACAGGTATTTGACAGACGGATGCTCCAGTGCTCGAGGGTAAATGCCAGCAGACACTAACCGCGGTGTTTTCACCAGCTCTGTGTTCTCTGTGGCATCCATGGCCTGACAGTAAAGATACTGGCGCTCGTGCTCAGAACGTCCGTCCTAAAGATAGAATCACAATAAATGAGAATGCATAAGGAATATAATATATATTGAATGATTTCCCAACTTTTTTGTCAGCTAAAACATATTAGATGAGATTTTTAAGTTAATATTACAATAATTTAACATTTAACACATTTGCAGTTCCACATTTAATTCGATGCGTTTGCAGTTCTTTGATGTCGGTTAACGTTCGCATGACATGCAAGTGAACAATTAATTTTATTTTGATTGAATGATTTTTAAAAAATCTTGAGCAAAAATTCTATAGTTCTGCGATTACATTGAGATTTGAACTGTGATGAGATTAAAATTTCACATTCGTGTTCCAAAACGTTCCCTTTTTTAAAAATCCAGACAGTTTATTATAATTTATTATTATTATTATTATTATTAATATTAATCATATAATAATAACATTATTATTAGGTTTAACTGTAATTTAAGACAGAAATACACTGAAAATTAAGACAGAAATACATTACTAATGACAAATAAAAAAAAAAAATTATAATAATTAGATGAGATTTTAAAGTTAATATTGCAATAATTTAACATTTAAATTGAACACATTTCCAGTTCCATGTTTAATTTGATGCGTTTGCAGTTCTTTGATGTCGGTTAACATTCACATGACATGCAAGTAAACAATTTATTTTATTTTAATTTTTTTTAAATGATTTTTAAATAGGGCTGAGAAACTTGAGCAAAAATTCTATAGTTCTGCGATTACACTGTGATGAGAAAAAATTCACTTTCGTGTTCCAAATGTTCACTTTTTTTTTAAATCCGGTCATAATTATTGTTATTATTATTATTATTAGAATTAGGGTTGCAAAGGGGTGGAAAATTTCCGGAAACTTTCCAAAAATCCCTGGAATATTCCAAAAAAATCCTGGAATGTTTCCGAAATTTACTGGAAATTTTCCACCTTTTTGCAACCCTAATTATAATCATATAATAATAACTATTATTATTAGGTTTAACTGTAATTTAAGACAGAAATACACTGGAAATTAACACAGAAATACATTACCATTGACAAATTAAGACTATAATTAAATTAAATTAAATTAAATAGATTTGATATGATCAAATATTGAAAACCAAACATTACTTGGAAGTCCCAGAGATTTTATGCTAATATTTCAATAATGAGATAAACATTTCACTTCCTTGTTCCAAACATTCACAGTTTAAAAAAATAAATAAATACAGAAATACATTACTGTTATAAATTACAATTGTACTGTAAAATAAAATAAAATATTTCATAATATAATACAATTTTTACTTTGCACTAGGGCTGGGCGATATGGCCTAAAAAAATTATCACGATAATTTTTTTTTTCATATCAGTCGATATCGATAATTATCACAATAAATGTCAAATCTTTATTTCTTTCAAGTTTAAAGCCAGATTTTTGCTCCTAAGTGAAAGCTGTAGAAACCAGACCGTTAATTTTCCTTAACAAAATAAATATCTAAATAGAAAAATTAATTTCTTAGTTTCAGCACGTTCTAATGAGTGATACTGTTTCAAATCAAGAAGCAGGCTTGGGTTGCCTGATAATATTAATAATAATAATATCACTTTTTGTCTCTTAGAAATGCACATTTGATAGTAGCTTGAGATAGGATGCAGAGGTACATTTTTGTTCATAATCAAAATCAGTAACATCTGTAAAAAATTGTAGCAACCTCAGTTTTATATGGTTACATTTATTCTGACCAAGTATTTATTTATTTTTTAAATTAAGCATTGGTCTCCCATAGTAGCATACATTTAAATCATGATAAACACAGTTAAAACCACACATATAGCACCTCAATACCATGGTAAAAATATAACTATATGGTTATACAGCCCTACTTTGCACTACAAGTTATAATACTAAAATCAACGTCTTGCATTCTTCACTTTTAAAGGTTGAGACGGCATGTTTACTGATTTCAAGATCAAAGCCAAAGTCTTTGTAAGTGTAACAAATGTATAAAAATGATACAAATGTCATGTGTTTGTTTGATCTGATTTACAGTGTCAGTGAAGCGTGCTGCAGCGGGTCACATGATCACACGCACCTTTATACCGTGGTAATGCAGGTGAACCCAGGGCTCTTCAGCCTGTTTCTTCTGCAGGAACTCATAGGACTGGATGCGGCGCTGACGGGCCTGTTCGGACTCGGGCCGGGAAAACCTCACCTGGTTAAAGGACAAGTCAACAATAAGAGCGATGAGCAGGACCAGGCATTTTATTCTCTACTTGCCAAAAACAAAGAAAACAACTGCATGAAGTCTTACAGTGATCTGTTTAACATCTTCTTCTGCTTCGTCCTGAGAAGAGTCTCCAGCTGCAAACCCACGCACTCGTTAGTCGTTGACAACAATTATGACAAAGCACTTGGCAATGACATTTTATCAAAGATGAAACATCTATATATATATATATATGTATTTGACCTTGACATACAAAAATGCATTTAAATTTCTTTTGAAAATAACAATGTGTATGCTCAAATATGTACGTACTTTTTAATTTCTCAGTCATTTTTAGTTATTAAATTAAAACCTTTCTGGAAAATTGTTACATTTTTTCAAAATCATATACTTTTCATTTTACACGTATGCAATAACGTGCGTCTAATATCTCTACATCCCCTTGTAAAATTAAATTGTTAATATATGTTGATTTTGTTTTAATAGATTTTATTACTTTGTTATTCTTGTTTACTTGTTTATTATTTTATTGTATGTGCAGAGAGTTTAAAAAAAAGCATTTCACTGCACACTGTACTATGCATAATTGTGTGTGTGACAAATAAAATCTGTATTTGAATTTAAAAAGCAAAATGAATATGTTTTCTAAGAACTCGGCATAAGTTCATCATAGACACTCTTATTAATATTTGTGATAATTTGATTTTAAAAAGAAAAATAAGTGCAATCTTCATTTGCCCTATAAGAGCAAATTTAGAAGAAAAAAACCCCCACAAGTGACCCCAAAACCCCCCGTACCTTCGTTGGCTGCCTCTCGTTCTCTATGTTTAGTATCAGCTTTATCCAGGTAGCTGAAGCTGGGTCTCATCTGGAGGATTCCCTGCAGTGGAGTGAGATGAAGCTCTCCTGCCACCAAAACATCACAGCACAGCACATTAGGGCGATATGGGCAAAAATTCATATCTCGGTATTTTTTGGCCGATTTGCGATATTCAGTATATATCTCTGTATTTTCGTTTTTGTATTTAAAAAATCTGTATTTAATATATATATATATATTTCACTTCCCACCCAATGTTGTCCAACAAAACAATACATATTAAAGGCTATGAAAACAAATAAAGTGAATGTAACCATGTAAGCCTTTATATCATGTGCAAAAAAGGGTTAAAATCACATTTCATTCTAACATTGTAACATTGCAATCTAAAAACAAAAATAAGGCTTTTACAGCGGAAGTTAAATTCACTAAACTAAAAATGAAAATAAATGAGAACAAAAGCACAGAGTTGT